AATTTGAGCTATTGCTACGCCCTGAAAGTTACTTAAAATTGCAAGCAATCAATGCGAATCCGTATAAATTTGCCAATGGCCGTTAGCACATTCTATTTATATATTGAGATTATTGACACAATGAAAATATCTGTACATCAATTTGTACAAATATTTCTTAGAAAAGTGCCTTGTCTTCATTAGCAATTTGTTGCCTTGCATGTAGTGAATATTGTTTTGCAGTAAATGGAATTTCTGCATAACAACAATATTTGATAATATTAATTATAATACAGATCAATTATGTGTGTGAGAAATTTAATCCGAAGTCATTCTGAATGGAATGTAATTATTCTCGTTTACATGCAAATATTGCTGACTGATTGATTGACTAATTGAAGTATTGAAGTGCCTGAAGGCTTATTTCAGGGACTCAAGCTCGGTTCGACTAGATAACGAGCAGTTCTGGCAGCTTAGCCATTGCAGCTGAAGCTTTTTGTCTAATGGATGTATTTTGTTCTCATGCAGTTTCCCATAACGGTACACTAAAGGTGGTAATTGATTTTGAAAGCGCTTTGTATGCACCTAAGCAAAGATAACTAGAGCTCTGCTCAAGCAACAGCAAGTTGAGCATAGTAATTTATATGAAAAGAATTTAAACATGTCAAGCTCTCAAATTTATTTTGAATGAAAATAAATATTTAGATATTGAATATTTTTGTAAGAAATCTATAAACATTTTAAATGTTTATAATATCAACTGCATTATACTAAGAAATTGCAGCCAAGCTAAACTGAGCTACGTCACTTGACAAACTTTCAGTAAGTCGCACGTAATGCGGTCTTTATACAGACTTAAAAGGCAGGTATATGAGAGACTTAAAAACACTGAGCGAAAAGTTGAGTGAAAAGCTGAGCAAACTGCTCGTTGAGTAAATACCCTTGAGTATGTCTATAAGTACTTATGCCATTCAAACCTGTTGAATAACCAAACAATAAAACAAATTGAACATTAAAATTTTGAAGAAAAACTAAAAAACAGTTTAAAGAGCTGAAGCACAATAAAGAATAAGCAAGCCATAAAGCTAGAGCAATAAAAATATAAAAATAAATTTAATGTAATAATAAATTTAATGTAAATGTGCATATAAAATTGATGTAAAATTAAAGTTTTCAATATTATTTGCCTGCAGTTAAGTTGTTGCTTGTTTTCTATACTATTTGGCATCTGTAACATTTTGTATAAATGCTTTCCATTACAGTTACGGCTGGAAGTGCAGGTGTGGACCTCTGGACCACCGGAGCCAGCAGCAAGTGCTGATAGCACACAGAGACAACGGGGACTGTCGCTCGGAGCCGCAACACAAAATGAGGAGTCATAGCAGATGGTTATGTGGAATTGTGCGCCAGCTTAGCTGCTGGCTGCTAATGCTGCTAATTGCTGGCCAGACTGTTTATGGTAAGTGTGCGACACACACACCCACACCCACACACACACTAACACAACTACAGCTCCGATTCTTATCAGCAGTCACAGCACATAGACACATCTGACTCTCTATCTCTCTCTCTTTTATATATACACTGATTCACAGACCAACAATTGAGATAACAGGCTCTCGAGCGTAGCTAAAAGTGAATGTGTCGAATATAAAACATTCCATTGCTGTTGCCCGCTTGACCTCATTAGCCTTTCATTTATCCTCTTTATTTATGCAACTACACACCCACACTGAAAGCATTTGCTGTGCACATGGCTGATGTCTCCAATTGCTACAAAAGACGAAAGGCCAGCAGAGAAGTATATGTATGTACATATAAATATATGTATGTA